TATATATATTGAAAAAGGGGTTGTGCTGGGTGTGGTGGTACACACCTATAATCTCAGCACTTGAGAGGCTGAGGCAGGAGAATTGCTTGAGTCCAAGAGTTTGAGACTAGCCTTGGCAACATAGCAAGACCTCATCTCAAAACAAAAACAAAAACCCTGTATCTCTTCCAAGACAACTATGCCAACTGTAGCCCACTCAATCCCTGCTATCTTCCCTTCTCTGATCTGGCTTGTCCCATACAGTACTTGTGCTGGGCAAATTCCTGATGTCAATAATGCCACTCCTATCCATCTCTCAAACTCCAAACTATAGCCCTGACACCTCTCTGCTCTTCCTTCCCAGTGGTTATCTTCACCTTGGTTAACGGCCCCATATACCTAGCCAGGTCACTCAAGCTAGAAGCCTGGGCTTTAGCCTCCATGCCCCTCTTTCTCTTGATCCCTCCCCACCCTCACATCCAACCGTGGTACTCTTCAGGCTAACTGTCTTTTTTTGTTTTTTTGGTTTTTTTTTTGTCTTTTTTGAGACAGGGTCTTGCTCTGCAGTTCAGGCTGGCCTTGAGCTCACTTTGTAGCCCAGGCTGGTCTCAAACTTGCAATAATCCTCCTGCCTCAGCCTCCCGAGTGCTAGGATTACAGGCGTGTGCCACCACGCCTGGCTCTTCAGGCTAACTGTCATCACCTGTAACCTGCATGGTCTCCCCCATGAGATACTGAGTACCAACAATCTGTCTCATTCATCACCGTACACTTAGAGCCTAGCACAGGTCCTAGCTCACAACAGGTGCCAGACACATACATGCTACAAAGAAACGACTCATCTGCTGTACCCTTGCCCCTGCCCAGGCGTCCCCTCCTAGCAACTTTCTGGGTCAGTTCTTACACAAGCAAGCACAGGCACCTGTGAGGGACAGAAGCCAACAACTTACCTTCGTTCATACTCCATGTCCTGATAGGCCCTGCGGGGGCTGCTGGGGCCCCTCCTCAGCCGCTGGCTCCGTTTCACTTCCCAGCCACCCCCACTGCTGCCACCATGATCTGCCAGCCTGGGTGATGCCTCCTGCAGGGACTCTGGGGAGAGCAGAAGGAAGAAAGGGGTCAGGGCAGTTGGGGCAGAGAGCGCCTCCTTGTGAAACCCTCCTTGTCAAGGGTCTTGGCTGACCCTTGCCCAGGGACACTGTTTCCCACCTCTTAGTGTTCCTGTGTTGGAGCAGGCGGGCAGCCTCTACGGTGCCTGCTCCTTCCTTTTCCCACAAACATGAGGTGAGAGCCCACTGCCCTGGGCAACAGCAAAGGCTTCCTCAGACAGGGGCATCTTGTCAGTGGCCTCATGGCACCGCCATTGTGGGACCAGGGTTTTGCTGCCTGAGACTGGCATACAAGTGCAAGCCCCGGGCTGTTGCAGGGCGGCCTCTCAGTGCTGAATGCCTTCCAGAGTCCCTGGCTCTTACCAGGCTCCTTCCACCTGCCCATTTCATCCTCCCCACAGGATGCTGGCTGCCCCTGACAAGGCAGACAGAAACTTGTCAGAAGCTGTTTGGGGTGTGTGTAAAGGGGCTAACTTGGCAATGGGACAGCTGCCACCTCTCTGGGCTCCTGGCCAACACAACCCTAGCCCTCATACAGGAACTGGCCCAGCCCTAATGTTCTGCCTCCGGTCCCGAGGTGGCTCTATCCCCCGGGATCTGAGGCGGAGCTTTCCAGAGGCAAAGCAGGCCCTTTCCCAGACTGTTCAGAAACACTACGACCTTTTGCTGCAATGGGGGATTGGTTAATTCACCTCGCAGTGCTGCCCGTGAGAACGGAGTCCCGAGAGCCATGTGACCCAGCCAGGGGTCAGAACCTATCCCAGAGTCCTCGGGTCCCGCCCTCTGAACAGAAATCGGATAAAGCCAGACGGTTGTAGCACCTGCCTAACACCAGGTTGCCACCACGCCTTTCCTCCATGTACACACATACACACATACACGCCAATTTTCTCTTGCTCCTCAAGCCACAGGGAGCCAGAGTTACCTGTTCCCGATGTGGAAAAGTTAGAATCACAAGCAGGAGTCCTAGTGGCTGAGAGCCAAACACAAATCCCCCTACGGGCTCTGGCAAAAGGGTCGCAGGCTAACACTGGTAGCCACAAGAACCCAGGTTACACCCAAGCCCCGCACAACTAGGGGCCCAAACCACACAAAGAGCCCTCGGTAAGGTCCATCATCACACACCGAGCCCCCTCTCAAAGTGTCGCAGATAACAACTCTCCCCTAAAAGGGGCAAAAGTCACACATTCCCTGTGCCCGGCTCCGCACTCACCAAGTGGGTTAGGGCCTGTAACAAGACAGTCCCCTGATGGAAAAGGACCGGAGTCACAGATACACATCCCAAGGATAAAGACCGGAGTCACTTTCTGTCTTCCCTCTCCTCCCCACCCCCATAAACAAGGGCCAGAGCCACAGAGCATTTCCCCGTGGACAGGTAAGTGCCAAAGTAACAACGGGCAGCCAGCATATGCCTGCCCCGTGGAAAAAAAAGAAAGTCACAGCCACGCGCCTTCCCACGGCTAAAGTTCGATGGAGTAACCCCAGTACGCCCCAAGTAGCTCTCTCCCATCCGTCGCTCCCTTCCCCCAAGCCGCGTGCGCCCAGCCCGTGTCCACGGCTCGCACACGCTCTCGCTCTCACGAGGGGGGTTGGACCCCCCTCTTCGGATCGTGCACGCATCCTTCCCTCCGCCGGGCGCGATCCCAGGGCCCACAGTCCGCAATCGCGCCTGCTCGCCCCCGCCCCGCCTCCGCCCCGGGTCCCTTACCTCCGCCCCCACGACCAGCGTCGACGCTCACCTTCTCGGCCCGGGCTGTCAAGAGAGGGCTCCCAGGCATCACCTCGGCCCGCCGCCACCTCTTCCAACTCTCCCAGCTCAGCAGAGGCCCGTGCGCACCACGATCCAGTCCACGGCTGTAGGCGGAACGGAGGAGCGGGGGAGGGGAGAGGCGCCGGGCGCGATGCCCTCCCAGGGAAAGTCACTGCCGCCTACTCGCAGCCGGCCGCAATCACCAGCACAAAATGGCGACGAGGAGACGCGAGCCGGCGCTCCGACCACCATCCACCTACTAAGGGAGCGCGCTCTGGCCGGCCTTGTCTATTGGTTGCCGCCTGTCATCGGCCAGCCCTGGCCTCCTCTGATTGGCAAGCGTATGCCGCCTCCCCCACGCTCCTTGCGAACGCCCCGCAAGTCCCGAAAAAGAGTAGCTATTGGCCAATCCCTCAAGGCCCGCTTTTTAGAAGCTTGGCTTCCTCAGAAGTTGAAAGACAAGCAGAAGCTCCACCTCTTTCCCCAAAGGGCCACCCAGATGTCATCTCTTTTTTCCTATCAAGGAAACGAGCAGACCTATCAAGACGAAATTCCTTAGCCCGATCGAGGGAGTGACTGGTCCCACGAGGCCATGGGATGGAAAGGAAAGAGGGCTCCTAGCGCCCCACCTCAATAGAAAACAAGCTCAGACCCAGGATCTACTTAGTACGGTGAGGGCGGAGCAACCAGCGCGGTAGGGTTAGCTGCAGCTGCGCACAATCACATTTCCGTCCCCGCCCCACAGGCCCTGCAGCGCAGTCTGACATGGCGGCGGGGCTCTTAGGGTTGTGCGCTCGTCGCCTTTTGGCAGCAGCGGCAACGCGTGGGCTCCCGGCTGCCCGCGTTCGCTGGGAATCCAGCGCCTCCAGGGCCGTGGTCACTCCGTCCACTGTGACCGGAAAGCGGGCGCCAGAGCCGGCCGCACAATGGCAGGAGGACCCAGAACCCGAGCAAGAAAACTTATATGAGAAGGTGAGAGGGAAGGGGAACGGGGACATCGGAGGGGTCAGTTGGGAATTGGCGGACGCGGCGTCTTAGAGGACGTTTTCGGGGCAGCTGACTAAATCTTTGAGGACTTGGGAAGGTTGCCTATTTTGGTTTTCGACTTTGTGGCCTGATAATCTTCGTCCAGGGCAAGAGCTGGGATTGGTTTTGTTTTACAGAAATAAAAGCTGAAGTGGCTAGCGCTGGAAATGCTTTAGAAACAGTCTAGCCTCAGCACTATTAAACTCCGATAGTGTGCCAGTGCCACTTGCACGGGACCAGCCTCTGCTCTAAACACTTTGTGTATATTAACTCAGCTAATCTGCGAAACAACCAGTTTTGAGGTAGGGACTGTTGTTATTCCCATTATATAGATAAGAAAAGTGAAGCACAGAAATATTAAACTGCTTCCTTGCCCAAGCTGGTTGAACAGTACGTGGCTGAACCAGTATTTGAGCCTAGAGTTACCGGGTCTCCAGTATTGTATTAACAGCAGAGACTCTGGAGTCAGATGGCCGGGGTTGCAATCCAAGCACTAACAGTTACTCGCCGTGTGACCTTGGGCAAGTAGCTTAACCGCTTGGTACCTCAGTATCCTCGTAAAATGAAAAAAGCAATAACGCCACTAAAAAATAAGATATACTATCAGGGCTGGGGATTTAGCTCAGCGGCAAAAGTGCCTGCCTGGCAAGCGCAAGGTCGTGAGTTCGGTTCCCGGTACCGGAGAAAAACCAAAAAAAAAAAAAAAAAAAAAAAAAAAAAAATAAGATATACTATCAAATGCTCAAGGCAGCAGCTGACACTTTGAAAGTAGTGCACGGGCATTAGAAGGTGTTTGTTATTGCCACTTTCTGCCTCACTGGGATGTTGTGAAGGTTCGTGTATTTGCAAAGGCCTGGCTCTACTGGGTGCAGTGGCACACACCTGTAGTTCCAGCTAATTGGGAGGCTGAGGCAGGAGGATTGCAAGTTCGAGGCAAGCCTAGGCAACTTAGTGAGACCCTCTCTCAAAATTAAAAGGGCTGGGGATGTAGCCCAGTAGTAGAGTGCCCCTGGGTTCAACCTGCAAAAGAAAGAAGAAAAAAATCTGATGCTTAACCTCCCTTGGAGAGGCTTAGATATATAGGATGCTATAGAATAAGTGGATGGAAAGTTAACTTGGTTGTAGGGTGGTATTTTATTAGGTTCAGCCGTAGGAAATTGCCAATATGTAACCATTTCTTGACTGATTAAAATAGCAGTTTTATTATGTATATCTAAAATGTACCAATAAAATCTGATTAGAAAAAAATAAACATAAAAAATAGCAGTTTCCTGTGGTTCAGTTGAATAGAAAAAGTGACTAGGGAGTGCCTCCAAATGGAATTGTTGAAGCCAAAACCATGAATGAGGAGGTGGAGATGGAGCTAGTCATGATTAGATCTGGGGGAAAGGCTTTCTAGGCAGAGGGAACAGCAAATGCAAAGGCCCTGTGGTGGGAAGCAGCTTGGCATGTCTTAAGAATAGAAGAATAGGAATTTAATGCAGAAGAAGAGATTGATTTGAGGGGAATTGGAGATCAGGTTATTCAGGGACAGCATCCAGCATTATGGAGAAGCAGGGGCCCCTCACTGACCTCTCCTTCTCCACAGAACCCAGATTCTCATGGTTTCGACACAGACCCTGTCATAGACCTCTGGAACATGCGTGCTGTCTTCTTCTTTGGCTTCTCCATTGTCCTTGTCTTTGGGACCACCTTTGTGGCGTACCTGCCTGACTACAGGTGCAGGGGATGTCTGAGAGTGGGATGGATGGGGGCAGAGGCAGGGTGGAGGTTGAAGGGGCCTCTGGTGGAAATCCTGCCCCTGTACCACTGGGGAGTGGGGAGCTGAGGGGGATGTGTGTCCGGTGAAACTTCAAACATCTGCCCCTGCTGCCACTGCCTCTAGGATGCATGACTGGGCCTGTCGAGAAGCGGAGAGGCTTGTAAAATACCGAGAGGCCAACGGCCTCCCGCTCATGGAATCCAACTGCTTCGACCCCAGCAAGATCCAGCTGCCGGACGACGACTGACCAGGTGGGCCTCAAGGAGAGCCGCCTTCCCTAACCCTGCCCACTGTCTGCCCATCCTCAGGGCACATAATTAAAGGGACTGAAGAATCTGACTGGCTCCTGTTGCTTGTGTTAAGGGGACATGGAGATGGGAATATCACAAGCCTTAAAAGCCATTGCAGCTTTTCCTAGGTGTTTTGATTATCTGTTGCTGTGTAACAAACACCCCAAAGCTTTGTGACTTAAAAGCACAAGGTAGCATTATCTGTCACAGTCCTGTGGCCTGCATGGTCCCAGCTGGGTGGCACTTCTTGAGGTCTGAGGTGGTTTCAGTTGATGATGGCTGGGGCTGCAGTCATCTGAAAGACAGTTGTGCTGGACGTGCCAGACGGAGTCCCCACCCATACATCTGTCACTTCTGTCTTCTCCCATGTGGCCTCCCTGCCTCAGAATAGCCCAGGCTGCTTATAGGGTGGCCCAGGGCTCCTATGGTGGGGGTGCAGTTCTAGGAAGAAACTGGTTTCAGCCCCCTTTAGAAACCAGCTACTGGGCCCCTCCTACATTTCGGGACAGCCTGGCCACCAAAGATTGAGGGTAGTGGGCGAGAGCAGGGGCTTCCCATTGCTGAGGGTGGGTGCTCCCCCCACTTCTCTCTGGGTGTGGGGATTCTGCCTCTGGTGTCTCCATGAGTCTGAATGCTTTTGTCTTTCCTTCCACCCCGAATCTGGATGGTCTCTGACTCAAGACACACATCTCACACAGATGAGGCTGTAGCTCAGTGCTGATTACTTGCCTAGCGTGTGAGGCTCTGGGTTCCATCCCTAGCCAGAGGGAAAGAAAGAAAAAAAGTGAGTGTGAGCGAAGCTACATGGACAAACCTAGAGAGTTCTTTCAGGTCCTCCCTGGACCCTCACCCTCACACCCAAAGGAAATCAACCACTCCTCTGACTTTTAACAGCACTGCCTAAGCCAAGAAGATGACGCACCAGGTGGACTTACAAACTGTGAACCAAAATAAACCTTTTTCTTTAATTCCCCAGTGTTTGATATTCTGTTACAGTAACAGAAAGCCAACTAAGACAAAGCGATTATAAGTGAATATGGCTATGACTATTCTTACACATGTATTTATGACATATATAAATGCATATACATTTCTGTTCAGTATAAACCTAGGAATGAAATTGCTGGGTCATGGTATGAGTATGAGCAGCTGTGGCAGATGGTCCATTGTAACATTTTATGCCCAGCAGTGTTTGATACAATTGCTCTTTTTTTTGTTGTTTTGTTTTGCTTTTGGGTTTTTTTTTTTTTTGTCCTTTTTTGAGACAGGGTCTTGCTATACAGTACAGGCTGGCCTTAGGCTTACTTTGTAGCCCAGGCTGATCTCAAACTGGCAGTGATCCTCCTGCCTCAGCCTCCCAAGTGCTGGGAATACAGGTGTGTACCACCACACCTGGTACTTTGTTATGGTTTGTGTGTGGATGTCCCCTCAAATCCTGATGCAGTCATGGGGTGGGCTTCTAGAGTTTATGATTGATCTGAGGTCCAATCCTGGGATTATGGGAGTGAGTGCTACACCCGCCCTGAGGCGGGTAGCTTGCATGCAGTAGGAGGGAGGGAAAGAAGCTTGCTCTCCCCGCTGCCACTCCTCCCTTTGTGCTCTTATTGCTTTTACCGTGTTCCACTGCCGTGAGCTGTTGCACTCTGCCATGTGCCAATCTGCCTTGGATCCAGCTAAGTACAGACTAAAACTTCCACAAACTATGAACTAAATAAACCTTTCCTTCCTTAATTCTGGGCATCAGGTATTTTGTCTCAGCAGCAACAGAGAAGTAACTAAGACACTCTTTGGTTTTTGAGACAGGGTCTCACTATACAGTTAAGGCTGCTCCTAAACTCACTATGTAGTCCAAACTGGCCTTCAATTCACAGCAGTCCTCATGCCTCAGCCTTCTGAGTGCTGGGATCACAGGCGTGCACCTTTTATTCATGTTAAATTTGCATTTTCCTAATAAAGATTGGGGTTAAACATCTTTTTAGATATCTATTGCTTATTTGGCAGGGGTCTGTGAAATCAAGGGGCCCTGACATTTGTTTTGTTTTGTTTTGTTTTTGTTGTTTTTTTCTGGTGCCAGGAATCGAACTCACGACCTCACGCTTGCCAGGCAGGCACTGTGCCACTGAGCTAAATCCCCAGCCCTAGGGCCCTGACTATTGATTATTTGGATATTTCTTTTTTATTAAGTATTTGAGTCTCTTGTCTAATTTACTGTTAGATTTTCTGTTTTAAAATTTTCATTTGTAAAGCCGGGTGTAGTTGCGCACGCCTGTAATCCCAGCACTATGGAGGCTGATGCAAGAGGATTACCACAAATTCGAGACCATCCTGGGCTACATAGTGAGTTCAAGGTCAGCCTGAACTATACAGCGAGACCCTGTCTCAAAAAAAAATTTTTTTTCATTTGTAGGAGGACCAGGCATGTGGTACACATCTATAATCCCAATACTCAGGAGGTTGAGGCAAGAGGATTGCCACCACTTCAAGGCCAGCCTCAGCTACATAGCAAGACCCTGTTCAAGAAAAAAAAAAAATCGGGGCTGGGGATTTAGCTCAGTAGCACAGCGCCTGCCTGGCAAGCGCAAGGTTGTGAGTTCGATTCCCAGTACTGGAAAAAAAAATCATTTGTAGGAATTTAAGATATTTTCTGAGTATGAAAATGTCTCAAATTTTAGTTATATATATTGCCAACATTTTATCCCAAACTGTCCTTTTTTGTTTGTTTGTCTTTTGAGGCAGGGTCTCAGTATGTAGTTCAGGCTGGCTTTGAATTCACTATGTAATCCCGGCTGGCCTCAAACTTACGGTGATCCTCCTGCCTCAGCCTCTTGAGTGCTGGGGTTACAGGCGTGCGCTACCATGCCTGGCCCCATACTATCTTTTGATGACTAAAAATTCATAATTTTAATACCACCTATGATGTTAATTATTGTGTCCATTTGAGTAAAAAATGCCCACTGATTGGCTTAGCACAGGATTTACTGAGGATGGAAGACCCTGGGTGTGAGTGGCACCAGCCAGTAGGCTTGTTGCCTGAGTGGAATGAAGCAGTAAGGCTTGCCTCTATTTCTTAGGGAGAGCTCCAGCCTTACCTTCACCTTAGACTTCCGTGTCCTGGCTTCTAGCACAGACCCTTTGGCTTCCTAATGGGGAGCAACATTTCCTTACAGGGATTCACACTACAGTGAGCTCCAGGCTTTTGATTTTTGACTGTATCCTTCAGCTCCCTGGCGAGCAAACAACATTTTTGCCCTCTCCCACTACTGACAGCAGGTGGCCATTGTGAGCCTATCTTACAAATCCATATACAGTATGTCTATATAGCTATCTTTTTTTTTTGTGCCTTTCTGAGACAGAGTCTCACTATGCAGTTCAGCTGACCTTGAACTCACTGTGTAGCCCAGGCTGGCCTCGAACTTGCAGCGGTCCTCCTGCCTCAGCCTCCCGAGTGCTGGGATAACAGGCGTGTGCCACCATGATTGGCATATATATCTCTCTTACATCTGTTTCTCTAGTGAGTGCTGACTGATAACAGAACCCAAAGAATTCCTCTTTTCTTTTGTGGTCAGTGCTTTTGGGTCTTATTTAAAGAAATCTTTTTCTGCCCCAAAGTCATGAATATATTCTATGTGGTATTCTAGAAGCTTTATCATTTAGATTTTTCACATGTGTACTTGCAGTTGAGGGGGAGTTTATTTCTATGTATGGTATGAAGTAGGGATCAATTTTTTCTATATGTTTAGTCAATCAGATGTGTATATTGTTGCAAAAACCATTCATTCCTCGTTACTCTTCAGTGCCCCCTGTATCGTAAGTCACATCTATGTCTATAGTTTGTATCAACATTCGCATCTTTGTATGTGTCTGTTTCTGGATTCCCTATGAAAATAGGCAAACTAAGGCCATTTGCCTGCTTTTGTAAATCAGTCATAGAACCCAGCTGTGCCCATTCATCTATATATTACCTGTGCCTGTTTTTGTGCTACAGCATCAGAGCTGAATGATTTTAACAGAGACCATTTTACCTGCAAAGCCTACGGTCTTTAATATCTGGTCCTTTTCAGAAAAAAGTTTATGACCCTTGCATTCTGTTCTTTTTTATTCTTAAATTGTTCTTGTGTAGATGCTGTACTTTCTTAATTGGCAAACCTTTAAAATAGAGCTTGGTTCTTTTTGTGGGAGTGCTTTTTTGTTTTTGTTTTTGAGATAGGGACTCACTATTGTAGTTCAGGCTGCTCTTGAACTCACTTTGTAGCTATGTAGCCAAGGCTGACCTCGAACTCTCGGTGATCCTCTTGCCTCAGCCTCCAGAGTGCTGGGATTACAGGTGTGTACCACCATGCCCTGCTGAGTTTGATTCTTGATAGCGTAAGCCTTCCAATTTTAGTCTTCAAGACCATTTTGGCTATTTTTCTTTTGGTGGCACTGGGTATTGAACCCAGGGCCTTGGCACTGAGCTCCTAGTCCCTTTTTATTTTTAATTTTGAGGCAGTTTCTCACTAATTTTCCAGGTGGGATTTGAATTTGAGATCCTCCTGCCTCACTCTCCCTCCATGCTGGGATTACAAGTGTACACCACCATGCCTGGCTTGTGTTGGCTATTTTTTGGTCTGTGTACTTACATAGAAATTCTATTCAGATATATTTTGGTTATAAAAATGCCTTTATGCAAATTTCACAAAATTTTAATAACATTTTATACATTACTTAATATGTAGTGTAAATATTTTCATGGTATTAAATATTCTTAACATTTAAACAACACCAATGCAGCCTACTTTTGTCTGATTTTGCACTCCTTTTAAGCACAAACGCCTTTTTGGGTCCAGCTTCTTCCATTCAGTGCCGTGTTTGTGAGACTGACCTGTGTTGTTGTGTGTGTCCTGTTTGTCCTCCTTGCTGTGTCTGTTTCACTGTGTGAACATCTTTCCAGTGTTGCTGGGCATTTGAGTAGATTTCTTTTGGGCTCTCTCCAATTATTCTGTGGTGCTGCAAATGGAACCCAACGCCTCTTATGTGCTAGGTGAGCACTCCCACTGCGCCCCACTCCCC